GGTGGTGCTAACACCGTGGTGAGGCCCCAAGTACAAACCTGTTTGAGGAAAGAAATTCATCTTGTTAGAGGGAGCTGAGCTACTTACAAGGCAGATAACGCGCTGCAGCTTGCTGAATTGATGGAGAGAGGCACTGGGACTCAGACTCACCTATTTTTCATTCTTTGAATGAAGTCTGTCTTCTGAATTACATGAGCCGAGCCGTATGAAGCAGGGAAAGAGAGCAATGGTTCTGGAAACAAAAACAGAGTTCTTATCTTTTAATACAGAAGAGAATGCCTCAGGATATTATTATTTGTGATTTATGGGGTGCATAGCAATATGACCAGTGTCTCACCATAGAGGACAGAGGACTCTGACCCTCTGCCTTTGATGAACTCTTGTAGTTTCTCCAGGGGCAATTTTTTACTGCAGAATAACTGCTGTATCACAAGATTCTGACTTTAAAAAAATCATACTGAATGAGCTACTAGGCTATGTTCATACTGAATGAGCTAAACTAGGCTTCTGTTCCATCCTACCACAGATTTATTCTATGACCATTCAAATTCTTTAAATCTCTTGACTAGCAAGTTAGGCTAATCACACTGGCTGTCAAGATTTACCTGTGACATATCTTGAGGTATGTTTATTAGTCTTAAATATTTTTGAGTGGACTGAGGACATAGCTCAGTTGGTAAAGTGCTTGATACACAAACAAGAAGACCTGAGTTTATGAACCCATTTAAACATTTGGGTACAGAAATGAGGTGAGCATCTGTAATCCCAGTGCTAGAGACGTGGAGACAAGTGGATTTCTTGGGCTTGCTGGCCACTTTAGTCTGAATTGTTGAGCCTCAGAGCACAGTGAGAGACCTTATCTCAAAAAAAAAAAAAAAAAAAAAAAGAGTGGATGGGCTAGAGAGACAGTTAAGAGTGCTTGCTGCTCTTGTAGAGGACCCACATCTACAGGTGGCTCACAACCCTCTGTAACTCGAGTTCTAGGGGATTGATGACTTCTTTTGGTTTCCATGGGCACCAGGCATACACATGGTATACATACATATATTTAGGCAAAAATACTTATGCATCTAACATAATAAAAAATTAAAACACGATGGAGGATTGAGGAAGTACATCTGATATCCACCTCTAGCTTCTAAATATACATACACACATGCACCCTCCACACATGAACATCCATCACATACAAAATATTTTTGAGAACTCAACCTTCTAAATATATGTCATATTTTATTATGAGATCAAAAGTGAAATCAACTATACAAAAGAGGTGAACAGCTTCTTCTAAAGATAGTGAAAAGAGGAAACAACCTTCTTTGTGCCTTCCTTTCTTCTTTTCTTCCTGATTTTCCAAAACTATCTTGAATAATTTCAGACTTATAGACAAGTTGCAAGAACAGTACAGAAAAATTCTGGTATAATTCTAGTATTTAGGTATAAATACTAAATTTATACCTAAAGTTAACCATGTTTGCTTTCTTTTTGTGTATGTATCTATATTTAAATGTTTTTTGGCACCCAATTAAGAAATAGAGATATCCCTCTATGCATACTTTTATAAGTATTCTAAGTACTAAGATATTCTCTTATGAAA